AGTTCGAGTCCCTCAAGGCCACTGAGTACCCGACTCTAAACTTGCCTAGTGAAATTAGTCCAGATGCACGCAAACTGTCCGGGCATCCATGGTTATCAAAACAAAAATAAAAAACCATTATAATTTGTCTACGCATATGACCCCAAGAAATATAGTATCATAAAGCATCTATTAAAGTATATATGTTCACCTGGCTGTATTGCTAATTCCCAGATTTCTTCCACGGAACTAAGGCCATGTTCACTAGCACAATTAAGATAGAACCCACTATGCGTAAAATGCATCCATATATTCCTAACTTCTGCAATTTCTCTTTCAATAAGAAATGAGCTAAAACAGCACTGTCAGAGAAAAAAGGAGGAGGCTACTGTTACTTATGATTAGTTATGGAGCATAAGACTCAGATCTGAAAGGTGACCTTTTTCTTGTTTTAATGTTGGCTCTTTTATTGGGAGAAGAGAAAAGGGAATGGAAAGTGACTGCAATGTACAGTTACCTGAAAATTATACTTAATGCTCCAAGAGATACACAAGGACAGCAGGATCATAAATGTAAGCTAGAAAAAAAGTTGAAGCTTCAAATCCACAAAACAAGAAATAAAACAATTACTGGCATGAGAACCAGAGGTACCGGCTCTCTGTAGACCACCCTCCTCCTTGACGATGAAACTGGGTTCAATGAAAGCGCTCGAATTGACCGCCGACCCTCCCTAATAAATTAGCTGTGCGCATGACCGGATCTGATCTAAACGACACCGAATTTTGCTCCGATAGTAATTTCTGATTCGTACTAAAGGAAATTCAAATTAAAATATTATTTAAATTTAGGGTTCATGTAAAGTTTAATTAATATTTTGCTAAAATTAAATATTAATCGTAATTTTATAATAAATATTTAGCCCCCGTTTGACACACATTTCTCATTTAGCAAAACTTCTTCAATAAAACTTGAAAGTCAAAACGAAAAATAAAACTCGATTGCTGAAATGTGAAACTTGGTAGGTAGTATAACCCCCATCTGGAGATCATGGAACTCCAAACCAATAAAACTCGATTGCTAGCTCAATTTCAAAGCCAATCAATGCGCATCGTAAGCCATCTCATGGGTTCAGGACAACGCCAACAGCGGTGATAGATCTGACCGGTAAGATCGTAAGGTCGAGGGACAGCGTCCCCCTCGTGGGGTCCGGGGGCAACGCCGGCGGTGATCGACCTGACAGGTTAGGTTGCGAGGTCGAGGGACAGCACCCCCTCGTGGGGTCTAGGGCAACGCCGACGGTGATCAACCTAATAGGTCGATCGCGAGGTCGAGGGGCCAACGCCCCTCGTTGGGGTCCAGGGGCAACGCCTTGTTGATGATCGACCTGATTGGTCAGGTCACGGGTTCAAGGGGGCAGCACCCCCTCGTGGGGTCCGGGGGCATCGTCCTAGGCGGTGATCGACCTAACCAGTCAAGTCGCGAGGTTGAGGGGTAGCGCCCCTCGTGGCAAAAAAAATAAATAAATGAAATTAAGTATTTGACAAAATTATTACTAAGAAATAATTGAGTAATAATTCCGAAAATTGCCACGTGTTACAAAGTGTTTTCCTCCTTTTATATTGTAGTGATGAAATATATAAAAAAAAAACTTCACATACATCTTATTACAATATAGTTATCAATTATAACCTATCTAATTAAAAAAAGAGAGAGAAACTCTCTCGAATTTATTCATCTTATTTCATTTTTCTCCGCAACCTTTTGGAGAATTTTAGGCTAATAAAATTATATGTATTATGTATGTCAATGTAAAGAAAAAGAAGAAGGAAAAAAAAACGTGTGCGCACGGAGGCCCTGTAAATTTAAGGCAGAAAGAACATACCTTTCAGACGTCGACGACACTTAGTGCGGAGACAGTGGTGGACAGACAACGATAGAGACCTGAACTGCAGGTAGCACCGATTAGAGATTTAGATCAATTAGGGCGGACATTGGATGCTTAAGCCCGAGAAATCTAGGGAATGCTGGTTACGAAACAAATGGCTTAAACGACGTAGTTTTGGTTGACTATTGGAAAATCCGACACGTGGCAAAAAAAACTGCCTATTTTGTATTGTAAGGATAAGGATATAATCATCAAAATGATTATTAAAAAGATAATAGGTCATGTTATGTGTTCAATTGATACATCGTTCTTTCATCATAGTATTTTACACACAATGCATCGAAAATTGAGACTACGATATGTGTCTCAAGCAATTCAGTATGTCAACACCACGAC